AAAATACCGGATTCTTTTGACCCTATTCAAGTACACCCAGCAACAGATAAAACGATACCAAAGCCAGACAAAAAAAGCAGATCGTGAAGAGGAAAAGCGAAGTCATTTACAGCTTTGGAGAAAAACATGAGTGAATTAAACTTGCACATCCATCTACACTACTGACTGATTGAGATGAGTAGTTGTAATCCACTCACATCACAACTAGTAGTTCTTGCCGGCCAGATCAAAGTGTGCTCTAAAAACCAGACTTCCATTTCACTCGATCACACATTGTAATCTGAATAATCTCGGTTTTAAAGGGAAACTGGAAAAATAATTACCTTCGACTATGTAGACTGCGAATTAATTTGTAAGATTGTGAACTAATTTGCAAACTGGGAATTTGATGAATTAACTAAGCTTGATTATTTTGGTTGATTATGGCTCGTGGCACTTTGAATCGGTAACTAATCATTCCTAACTTTTAGATAAGTGTACTTTTCTGCACATTTCAAAATGATTAGTCGGTGGCACAGCGGTTAGGACACACGCCAACCATGAACATGGTCTGGGGTTCGATCCCCGGCCACTGGACGCACTCCTTTACCTCTCTAATCCAGTAGTGAGACTGGTAAAGAGGAATGGTTGGGCATGAGGCTAGCAACCCCATCCTGTAAAAATTAGTACTGCTGCCGAAACTTCAAGCCTCTAGCTTGGAGCCCTATGTTCCACTGGGAACGTGAAGGAAAAAAAAGCCATTGACTTTGCGTCTGCATTCAACTCCTTTCTGCATCAGTAGTCTGCGTAAATTTTTTTAGTGTCTTTATTCAAGACAACTAAACTGTTATTGTACTCCAAATCACGATAGAGAGCCCTTCTCATATAAAATCAAATGTAGACAAATTCATTTTCCTAAGTGTATGATAATTTTACAATAAGCAATCATACTAACCAACACGCACGACAGAAAGAACTAACTGTTACTGTTCACAAAATTCCATGACTTAGATTAGTTAGCGTATACACTATGCTTCTACTTTCATTGTCTGACAGCTCACAACTAGACTGTCAGTAAAATTTTATTTCGTTATATAACTTTCATTTGCTGTTTAATGGTCTATCTTACATGTGAACAGTTAAATTTAAGTTAGACTGATGTGTTGTGGTTCACTCTCCAGTTTTCTCTAATAAAAATAGTTTTATTATTATTTTTTTTATTTACATGGTAAAGTATAGAACTTTCTGAAATGACTTTATGAATAAAAGTAAGGTGCATTTCTTTTTTTATATGCACGGTTATTCTAATTTTCATCGATGTAACACTCTTTTGCATGGGACAGGATACGATTAAAGATAGTGAGTGAAGTGGTCAAATAATATGACTGCTTCAGATGTTTGGCAGGCTATATCAACCCCCAAAGCACTGGTTGGTAACAAAGTCACGACAAGAATGAAATCGCCTCTAGATATCTGTCAAATCATAAAATCTCTGCCATAGAAGAGATTCTTAGCCTAATGACAGCCAAATTTACCACATGACACAAACATCTGATTGTGAAGAGAAGAAGATATGAGATGACTACAGGTTTCAAACAAAATTTCCCACATGTGATTAAATCCCAGACTGAATGCTATTGATATCACATTTAGGGTATTAGACAGAGATAAGTCAGTCATTTGGGTTGAAAATTCTATTTGACACGTTGTTTTGAAGTGTACCAACTTGAATACGACGAACGTTTGTGCGAGGTTCTACAGTGATAAATTACTTATCATACTGTCTTAATGCTGAGTGTTTTTAAATGTAAAACAAATAAAAATATCACCACTTTTCGATTTAACAAAGACTTAGGTAAAGACAGAGTTTTTATACATTCGGTTTAGATGAAACACTGTAAACTGCTATCAATTAGTGAACTTTCGCACTGAAACTAACTGGAAAAAAGCATAATGTGCTTGTAAGTGTCACAGGATAACTTTCAGTGGCAGAGAAAATATAACTCTTAAAGTGTTGAGAGTCATTAATAGACACACAGTATAACCTCACTGAGATTTCGTGAATGCTCATACTGCTCAGCACATTATACTTTCAACACCAAAGAAAGGGATGCTTCCATATCGATCTGAACTTGAAGTCAGAGAATATACTATCAGCACAGCGACAGAAGATAAGCTTATCGACGGATGACAACAGAATCAACACCTAGATTAACCTAGGGTTTCTGTAGATTGACACCTTACATGCAAGAGTGGATAAAATATATCATAGTGGAGAGAAAAATGCTACCATTTGTATATTCGATTGATAGGAATTGATCGGTACTTTGGATCACAAAAATATATGGGTTAACTGGTTAGCATGTCGTAATTATATTACAAATCATTTCGCTCGTGTTAGCATGATGTGTGAAAGAATTATATATACGTAATTTCGCATACCTTTACGTCTCCACCAGCGGGATTGTACTTGATATTTGCAAATGAGCCAATTTTAGGAGTCACCTTTTGAATGAAATCCAGTTTTTCTGTAGATATCTAATTAAGGTATAAAGGATATTAGAGAAACTCATCAACCGAATCGTGTCATGCTTTAGTGTACTGTGAATATGGGCAGAGAGGTTGATGTAAATGCCCCCCAGTTCCACTACAGAAATGTGTCAGTTCAAGCTACCATGCTTCGTCCTGATAATGCATGTGTATAAAGTGAAAAGTGATGTTGCAGAGCAGTGGTGAAACATGGACTTAAGAGGAGACAATAATTAAATTGTAGTAAATCGTACAGAACCTTGAAGGTATAAGAAAGAGTAAAGAAAATTACCCTACTGTCAATTATTTTGAGCAACTATTTATTTCTAACATGTTGAGGACTCATTCTACATTTTTCTACATAGCCAAGACCAGCAGTTGAAGACTTCATAAATCGGTTATATGTTTTAGTCTAAACACATCTAACATTTTCATGCTTTAGCCCTCCCTACTTCTGCTGGGATTGACTTCCTAGAAAGGGTGTTAAATATTTCAAAAGTTTCAGTCGTTGAATACCTACTCAACTAACCTTCAATGACTAATTTCAACCTTCCTCACTCATGTCTCTTTTACATTCTCAGTAATGTGACGCAGAGATATTTGATAAGAAGTAAATTTTTTTCAAATCTCTTGCTACGATTGTTATGTTTCGCAGTTTCAGAATTGGACATTGTACTTTAATGCGCCTGTTCCCTACTACTTTTAGGTCTTATCGCTTGCAAGAGGTGTGATTTGATGAAATGAAGAGAAGAAATACTGATTGAAAAAAAATTAAATGATAAGAGTTGAAAAGAGAAGAACAGTCACTTATTATTTACACAGTTGTAGTATTCTGATGGCATATATGTCAGATATTAGGAGTAAATCAACTTAGGACTCAATTCAACTGCACCTTCCTGATTTTTATTATTACCATTAATCGAGGTGTACTTGACACTTTGACGCATCTCTTTTTTTATCGCTGTAGTAAGCAAAACAACTTTACAACTGATAGGTTCATGGTGGAACTGCATCTTTATAAAAAATTAGCTGATATCTGGTTTAATTTGCTGATAAAAAATATGTCAGATGACTATTCGATTGCGTTTATGAACTGTGAAGGCACCAAATAAGTAACAGTTAAACATATTGTTACCCGCCAATTAGGATTTATTTCGACGAGAAAACTAAAGGCCCTTGGAGCTTTTTAAATGACTAGGTCATGTGTTTCACATATATTTTCACCATCTATCACATGATGATATGTAAGAATAGAATTAAGTTGTCCAAACCAATATGTGATAGTAAAAGCAGTGAACTGATTAAATAATGTTCACAGTCTTGTAATGAAATGTAGATTTTATGGGTTTAGTGCATTCGTATGACCGTCAAAAATGGTTAAAAACTCTAAGTGAAATGTGTCAGAATTAATAAAAATTGATATTCAAGTGTTGGTTTGTAGGGATTTTATTGGTTACAGGATTTCATCATGAGCTGACATTAGTTAGAGAGCCTGTACCTTATTAACACCTCGACTTTTAGTCAGATTGTCTTTTTCCAAGTTTGATCTTACAATAATGTCATTTAGAGAAACACTGAAAACCAGGGAATACTGAGCAGCTGTTCTATCTCAGTGGGGAATTCTTCAGCAATCGCTATCCCACCGAGGATTGGACCCAGAAACCTCAGTTTGAGAAGTCAAGCTCTTTGACCATTCAACAATTTGAATCAAAGTTGATTGGTACATGAATTCTAACTTCTGTTAACTTGCAATTTTAGAATGACTGTCAGCCAGTGTTATCTGTGGGTAGTTGTCTTCACACCCGACCTGGTGGGCCCCACTGGTCACGTATTCTCACTAAAACTCCAGGCGACTTCATGTAGCTAATCACTTATGAGCGTCGGATTCATTTTCAAGAGTCAGTTTATAGAGATTTGATTTGTTTCAAGTCGGATCACGGATTAATTTCACTTTGCTTCGTTTCATTGCTGTCTACTTTATTTGACTGACAGGTAGAGACATAATCATACCAGAATAGACGACCATAGGTGTGACGTAGAGAATAGTTAAATGGACACTAATAAAAATTTCCAAAATCCAGTAGATGTTGAAGAGCTTATCAGGGAAGGTTTTGGCTTAGCGTGAGTAACAGTCAGTCGACGAAGACTTATAACTTCAACGACTGACATCTTATCCTCACCTCACACTGAACATCTAGTCGTATTATTACTTACCATACTGTTTAGCTAATGAAATCAGGTAGACAAATAACGTTTAGTCTTATTGTATTCTGATTGATAGAGATAAAAGTATGAAATGTAGCAGCTTAGATCATAATGTAATCATTTTAAGTCAAATATCAATAATGACTGACTAGCTGATTATTCTGTAAAATGATGATATTCATATCACATCAATAAAACCGAAGCGTCATATGAACAGTAAATGCATTACACCAATAAATACTTTTAAATTATGACGTCTATCTGAAAACCTTGAGTGAATAGCTCACCTTTTTATCTCCACCTCCCGGAACGTGTTTGACATTTTTAAAAGACTGAACTTTAGATTGTGTATTAGAAGAGAAATCAAGTTTTTGATCTACAATTTGTACATTCCCACCACCTTGTAAAAGGGAAAAGAAATATTTTTCGAAGTCCATCTTGATTTTTCTATGAAAAAAGTACCTTATGTTATGCATTAATTCAAATTTTAGGAGTAATCTATTATTATCATTGAATGCCATAGCTGAAATAATCTAAAGAAAAGCAAATTAAACAGTTCGGTAGTTGTATATGTGAGCAGATTATCCTATGCTTGTTTTAAAAGATTTTGTATTAGGGAATTGTTCCATGGTTTCCCTATAGAGACAGCTCTTTGCATTCCAATTATTTCTCCATTCCTTACAAAGTATCACCAGCTAGCTTATTAGAGGACTAGCTATTCGTCATACTACGATTATTAGTCCTCAGAGTTCCAAGTGGAACAAAGGATCTCCGTGATACATTTCTATTCTACCTGATACTCTGCTATTACTTTCAGCCGCTGTGTTACTGCCCACAAGCTTTTGATTTCTATTCTCGAGTTCTTCTTTATATCCCCACTGGACACACAACTGGTCGCTTCCCATCCGGATTTCACTGAAGACGTGTCTTGTGATGACACTCAGAGTATGTTCAGTCTTTCTTCATCTCTTCCTGCATTTTTCTTTTGGTCAATGGGTTGGCTTTCACAGTATCATGTTGGTTACCTCTCCTTATTGTACAATAAAGCATATTAATAGGTATTTCGAGATTAAAAGCACTTACACCGTTTATGTGTGTAGGTGGTAAAAAGGTAGAGTGCTTGCCGACCATGCATGTGGTCTGGGGTTCGATCTACGGTCAACGCACTCCACTACCTATCTAAGCCAGTAATAAAAATGGTAAAGAGGGAAGGTTGGGAGTGAGGCTACCGACCCCATCCATCCCGTAAAAATAGACACCAGTGTCACCGAAACTTCAGGCCTCGATCTGGAAGCTCTATGTTCCGCTGGGAACGTGCAGGAGTAAAACAAATATGCCGTTTATATCATTTGTGAAGGCATTATGAGCTAGTAATTTAAATTATTTAAACAACCGAGTTATTTCATTAATATAAGGAAAGGTGGAAATGAGTACCGTCCTTGACTTAAAAGTCCAACTAAAAGTAATAGGTAGAGTTGAAGCAAATTTAAAAGTGAGATTAGTTACACGTCTATGGATAAGCAACAGAAAGATGGGATCAATAACTGTTTGACTGAGACTGGAGGAGTAGTTTTTTGCAGTTAAATGATAATAAATGATAAAGTCATTCTTGTGGTTATATTTTTTTGACTTCACCAATATATCAGAATTCAGTTATCCTTGAAATTTATTTAAAACTGTAACGAAAAATTCCACGAACTAGATATGATATTGTCAAACTTGATGCATGATTGCTCTATTCACCCGATGAAAACTGTAACAATGTCTTTCAACCACACTGATAATGAAATAACCTTGTGAAATCATTCACCTGTGATAAAGTCTATTCAAGCAGATCTGATATATTATTTGACAAGATCTTGACTTTATAATTGCAGATTGATCTATCGCTTCATTGAAAAAGACCTACTATTCCTCCTTGGGTCTCACAGTATCACAGTGATAAAAAGACTAAGACAAAGAGATAAAAAGGCTCGAATAAGCGTTGAGTTATACCTGGTTTATGTTTCACATTGGCCAGTGAATTACATTTCCCAGTGACAGTATTAACGACTACTTTTTCATTGAAAATTTGTACCTACAAAGAGGGAGCAAAGAGAGAAATTTATCAACTTTTCTGTATAACCTGAATTCTGAAGTCAATACACCAATTAATAAAGCAATTCAATGATAAAAAAAGAAAATGAAACATCACTCATCTTTTGGTAGATACACAACTATAGAATAATGTGTGTATGTGTCATAATCCAGATTCTTGGTGGTTTGGATGAAAATTGACTTCATTGAGAAACAGGCATTTCTAACTTATTTTCAAGCGTCACTTTGTAGGGATTTGATCAGTTTCACATTTGTTCATGGGTTTGTTTCAGTTAGGGAACCACTATAAAACTATGGACAGCTGTTTCGTCCCTGTTCAGGACTCTTCATCGCTGCGCACCTAAGAACCCACTGAGTATTGAATCCAGGATCTACAGCTTACGAGGCGGGGTCAACGACTATTCAGCCATTTGGACGGACTCTGATGGCCTATGAATTTTACCTTCCATTAATTAACCTCAGCTTAATGATAATATCGGATCTCTGTATATACTAGGCTGCCATTATTATTGTTCTATGCATTTCAAATGGATGTTTGTGTGAAATATATTTTACTTTCAATATAGAAAAAATCTCCATTTAGACATTTAGAAAAGAGAAAGGTTGAGCGAAGAAATATTTACTTTTCAATCAGATCCTCATCTCTGGCTCTACTTTAATATATATAGCAATTTTATTACAATACAGAATAGTTTACCGATCAAGTGGCGATAAGTTTGTTAACAATAAACAGTCAGTGTCAAAATGTCAGTGGGTTGATAATTAACGAAGAAAATCAATTATCAATTATGTCACCCCCTATTACTCAATAATAGACCACTATACATTTTTCTAAGTATAAATACGAGTGTACAGCCTCGGAAGATGATTTCGTTGATAAAAAAAATTTTCTTCGCTGAATCTGTTTTTTATTTTCTTCATGACTCAATGGATATTTTCCGTGATTTGAAATCAATACACATTTAAGAGGTAGAAATGGTTAGAATAAATTAATTTCACAAGGGTAATACGTAATTAAAGATGTAGTGGTCAAAACAAATCAAAAATAAAATAATTTGGACAGTTATAATTTTTATAATTTTTAAAGGTTTAGGGGGATGGGGACGAAGTAGTCCTGTTTATGCATTCATGTAACGATGGCCACGGTAAGGGAAGTGGCTGTACAAATTTCTTCTGAACACACAGGTTTGTCTTCTTCAGGTGGATTCCTATTGCTTCAGTTGTCTGTATAAGACGAACTCGTAGAGCAAAATTGAGATTAGTCGGAATGCGATAAATAATTTTAAATGCAGTATTAACGTCCACCTTATGCTCACTATCTACAAGGTGTGCTAAAGTAGAGCTACGAACAGATCTTGTTTTTCCCTTGCTTAACCATTATGGATGATGTTCGGAAATACGATGATGAACCTGCCTAATTGTACACCCAATGCTTATTCTATTTTTTATCCTTGTGGTTAGCGTGAGATAAGCTGAATCGGGACGTGATGCAGTAGTGTTATACTAATGTGTTAGCAGCTTCTTTGTTTTTTTTATAGACTTTCTCATATAACTGTAAATCAGTTCACTTGATACTTCTCATAACAATAAGTACAAAAATAAGTCATATAAGTAAGTTGCACAGAAAAAGAAATTTATTTGATTTGAAAATTTTCAAGGAATTGATTACTTTCAATATAGATTCCAATGAGAACCAATGCAAATTAGAATAACACTGAGAATAAAGAAGCATTAGACAGTTGTCTTATTATAGTTACAAGCTTTTCAGTAGTTAACTCATACGACACTATGCAGGCTGAATTTTACAAATATATCCTGTTTTATGCAGAGTGCATTATCAGTCAACCATAGTAGTCAATCAAAATATGGTAGTGGTCTACTTATTTCACTTTGTGCTAGTGCATTTGCAATCCAAAGTTATGAGTGTGAAGTTATGCGCAAGTCATGGATTTTGAAAATCCACCTTGAATTCAGTCACCAGTGAATATTTAATTGTTATTCGGCTTGAGGGTTTTGAAGAAACCTAATCAGTTACGGCATATATTGCAATTTGTGAAATACCCTCCTCAACCTGATTTACTTCAGTGATCACAACTTCTAAACTAGAAAGTCAACTGTTCCATTTCAAAGCTTATCACTAACGTTTGGTGGATTAATTTCTAGATATTGATTTAGTAAAGAAATCTACCTTGAAGAAAATTCAATACCCACAGATCCCCAAACAATAAATACTTTTAGTTAGAAACATTTATGTAATTAGACATCAACGTTTCTTATTTTCATCCTGATTGTTGTTCAATCGTCTTTCACTTGATCTGTTCATTAAGTCTTTTTAAGTGGACAAAATAGTAAGTTGTACTAATTTCCTTGTTGTGATGTCAGAGATTTTGCCTATCAACTTTCATTAATTTGTACTACCACATAATACTTGAAGATTTTTGACTGAAGGAAACTTTGCATATTGTTACTTTCATTATCCTTATTCTCACAATTCATAAGAGGCTTTTTTAGCAACAACTGCATTGGTAAGATTTTCATCTTTTTTCAACAGATGACAAAATGAAGTCACTCCACAGTATAGTAATTGTCGTGCTTTAGAGTAATGTACCAAAATCAGACAGGCAACCGTTAAAAACTAAAAAACAAAAAAAAATGGCCAGGTGTTTGATCGCCGCATGCAAAATTGTGTGAGATTATATTGTCATTACTCAATTAGGGTTCAATCTCAAGATCATCAAGCTGGATTACCCAGCTGATGATTTGATATACAATTGTTTGCTTCTTCTAAAGCTTGACACCTTGAGATTTAACACAGCTGACATTCTATTTCGGTGCTGCTTAGTTCACAATTAGTAATTGTTGTAAATAAAGAGGGAAACTATTTGCAATCACTTGATTCCACGTAATCTTTCATATTCAGTAATGCTATCCGTTCATAAAGAACTGGGCAGATTAATTTGAAGTGGTAGCTTAATCATACATAACTATGCGTATAGAAACCTTCGCAACTATTAGTAATTAAATAAATAATCATTAAACATTTTGTCATTGCTTCCTGAGATTAGAAATATACGAAATCTACTTGAGTTTAAGCAGTTATATGGTGAAATTAACTTTCCAGAAGAACTAATGTATCTCATAGATGAATACATAAACTTGTTAAGTTGAAACTAAGCTATTAAGACAATCATTCTTATTGTTAATAACATAGTTCTTATAGTAGTAATGCTGGAAACCAACACCACTGTGTTAATGTATTATGAGTTCTACTCAGTATTCACACGTTAATAAAGCCACAGGTGGCACATGTTAGCATTAGTATAGAATCATTTTCTGTAGGAAACACTATTATGAGAAGAATATCACACAGTATGAGTGTCACAACGTTACACTATCAACTTTCATACTAAGTTCAATTTTAACTAACAAAGATTTCAGAAGAAAGTAAACGTTATTAAATGAATAACAGTAGTTAAACAAAAGTTCCAATCACTTCTAATACAACCATCACTTGAGACACCAACTTATAAATAAATAACTTTTGGTTTAGCAAACAAAGCGTATGGCATTTAAAGTTACATATGCGTATATATACACAATTTTAACTGGGGCATTAAAGTAAAATTTATGGAAGTTTAACAGTTTCTTATTACTCTCAGTACATGGTAAATTCAATAATGAATGTATTTCCGTCAAATTTCTGTGCGTAAACAATTCAAAATATCTTCATTTAAATTAATAAAAACGCTAACTTTAGAGATCATTAGAAAAAATATCTCCACTTACATTGCCTCCACCTGGTTTGTGTTTTGCATTTTGCAATGAACCTACTTTCGAAGATATTGGCCTTGGAGGACCTAATAAAAATTTCAAAAAATATAGAATTAACTAAAATCATTAACAAGTTGAGACTGAAAATATAAATAACGTTACTTACTGCAACTTGGAGTCAATAAATTACTCACTTTGATAATAATAACAATAATAATAGTAATAAGTCAAATAGCCTCAAGTTGATAGAGGCAGTTGAACGAAAGTCAGAGATAAGTTAGGATTCCAGCCAAAGGCTTTCTTACTTCAGCCTACAATATTGTACCAACTAAGCTACGAAAGCCAGTCTATAATCAGATTTTAGTTCTGCTTCAATAACTACCGACTGATATCACCTGTCCACTCAAATTAATTGGCTTTCCTGCCTAAACTAGGTCTCAGATTATCAAATGAACAGACTCTGTGTATGTGTTGTGAAACATGGATACTGTACATTAAATCAGTTTAGAGATATTAGTTTGCATAAAATTGGAGTTTCTAGCATAATTTCATACGCTATGAAGTGATTACTAATTTAAAGTTAAAGTCAAAAGAAGTCTGATTAGTATAAAGACTCATATAACTGAAATCCTATTGAAATGGACTAGCTAAAAAAAGTTCAGTAAAGTTCATTTTTCCTTTTGGAATTCGAATTTATAGGACTACGTAATGAAATCCAAAACTATAACACTAATCCACTGAGATCGATGACCAACACAGCACGGAATGCTTTTCATAAATTGGTGATTCTATAGTAGGTTTTTTGCGCTGAAGCAATATATGTCATTCCAAAGTTTCAGATACAACTAGTCGGTAAGTTAAAACATCTACATGAGTTCAATACTTATTTATTAAAGGTACCTACCCAAGAGACATCGAAATGCAATCTATAGAAGTGTAGTACCACTTAATTAGTAAGTATTGTACAATCGATCAATCATACTTGACATCTGTATTGTTCACCAGATAAAAAGTAGTAATGCTGCCTATCCTTAATGTTTATGTGAACAAATACCTTAAAGTGTCAGTCTTTAAAAACCAATCTTAGCTAAAGAACTTTTGAAATACAAGTACCACCGTGAAATCTCTTTGTGCTAAGTCGGAAGTGAACTTTTAACTTTACAGAAAATTAAAACCTTCAGATCTTGAAATAACTGCATTACCACTCAGGCATAAAACATTAATCCAACCGTCAAGGTTTTTAAATTTAGCCAACACATATACTTAAGATCTATTAATTGCTGAGTAAGTCCTCACATATCTAACAAAGTTTATATAAAGCTTTCGGAAATCTATCATGAATTCAATAATAAACACTAGATTTTTACCCGATTAATTGGCTTGTAGAAAACTAGTTAGTTTGAGAAATAGTCCTAATCAAGAGAGGTTATCTATCACCAGAGAATGTCCTTTAAGCGGAATAGTTTCATTGCAAAGCCATTATTTTCCTTCTAAATATCTTCGGTCTATAACCTAAACTATCTATAGTCCTGATGAAAAATTAAATCTTACAAGTTAAATCCCTTCTGAAGTTTGCAAACACTGATGTAAAGTTTGAGTTCGGAATGAAACCACTAGGCAATGGTGTGTGTTTTTCTAACTCTTCTTGTTCACTTCAGATTGTGGCGGAAACTATTCAGATGTGACCTTAATCAGCAATTAATTATTTTATACTAATGTAGTAGTCAATATCTGAATGCATTTGTACAACTTACCGCTGCTGGAAAATACCTGAAAAACAAGAAAAAAAACCAACTTGAGTAAATATACAAGGATCTAATTAGGAACACATATTTGCTTAAATGAAATTCCATGATAGATAAAACTTTATTTTCACGACGTGAGATTCCCAAAACACATCCATACAATTATTTGGGGTAATCGATGGCATATACAACAGGAACTAGACTTCATCTTTGTCAGTAGTAGATAGCAGAACGATATTTAACTGTAATATGATGCGGAAATATGTCAATGAAATATATGGTTAAGGTCAATCGTAAATATTTACAAATACCTATAAATGCATTCATACTCATAACGTCATTTCAAGATTTATGGCAACCATAGCGGAGAAGGCAGTAAACCAAAATGGTACTGGAAAACTGTGGGTGTCTATGTGTCGCCCAATGCCTCTAATTATTCGCTTTACCGGATAAAATCCTTAAAGATACCCTCTTTGGAGGACTAAGAATTTAGTTTGCAGCGATTTGATTTCAATGTTTTAGATAAGGAAGAAATCCTAACATATGTTAAAAATCTAACAAACAAGGTCCTTTATTTATATTTTACTGAGCACGATAAGCTGAAAAGCAAACTAAGAAAAATTGATTCAGCAGGCGGTATTTTCGCTATGAAATTACCGGCGAAGAGAAACTATCATACTCAAAGGCACAGTGACCTTGAACCATCAATACAAATTCAGATGCAAGAACTCGCATAATCGCTGAAGAACGCATTAAAAACATTGCAAACATGAAATTAAACTGGATAATTGTCGCTTATGTCTTGTATGAGTACCTTCCAGTCACTACACGGACAGACTATATCGAAGTAATACCACGTGCGACGAATATATTCATGAAGGTTACTGTAGATTATGGTACTTTGAGATCAATTGATATTTCTCATACCATTCTTTAACCTACGCTTAACTCTGACCGTAATACTACTCCCTAGTCCTAATTTCTAACCTTAACCCTAGACCCCAACCTTTAACTTAAGAACCATGAACTTACCTGACAGTACAAATTTAAAGAAAAAGTACTTAGGGAATATATGGTATGCTATATCTTCCGTCACCAAGTCCATAAAGGCAACATGACTTGATTTGAAATGACCTTTCATAGTATTCCCTAAATCTGATTGATTTTAGAAGGTCAACTTTTGACTTGATTTTGGCTATGAAAGTTCAACTCCGCTCACTCCTTGTAAATTTTACTATTCTTTACTACTTTCAGCTTTTTTATGTATTACGCTGTTGTTAAATATGATTGAGCAAGATGGTGCTTATAGGTGAAAATCTCTACTCTGGTATGCATGATAAACCTTAGTTAAACAGGAGATAGTTGTAGCCGACTATTCTTATGTACTCATAAAATTCTAGTGACTAAATAAACAATATGGTTGCTGAATTAAGATGTGGTAGAAATTTCCACATGACTTGGTGTTAAATATTAACAGTGAACACAGGCATGAAGTGCTGCTTAATCGTGACTAGAAGGAATATTTAAAACTTCGCGAGAAATTCATACCATATGTGAGATTAAAACTTGAACTACGCAACTATCGTGTCAGACGCCTAGCTTCAAAGTTATTCATGTCAGACAAGTTGTTAGACTGTGCATTACAAAATCGGTTTTCAGCAGAATTATAGAAAAGCCAACAGTCTCGGTCGCCAATCATCACCGTAATCCAGGTATATGGTGGTTTAGTAGTGACTTGAATGACTTTGTTCCTGAAAACTCGAATACCTGTGCTGAGTGACACTAATTTGAATTTCTGAGGTTGAGAATACACTTTGTTTATAACTGCTAACATATGTGAAATCTAAGTACAGTTGGAGTTTCGTCGTCTGACGCTCAACATCTAACACATTGATCTATTTTACTACAAAATAAATAGTTAGTTTCGGCTTTTGAGTACAAAGAATTGTTAATTTAATCAAGTTTACAATGACAATGTAGTGTTTACTTGTAGTTCTCTAACTGATATCAATCCGTGATCAACTCGTAAAAACAAATTTAATCCTAAGTGACAATTAATATTGTGATATAGCTCGATAACTGAGATACGTCGATCAAAATCTCAGTTCAACTTACACTTGATGTGTCAGATTCTGTATCACATGACTTAGATGGATCTGAAAGACAAGAAAGATGAAAACGAAAATCGAGAGCCAATGCAGCTATTCTGTAACATAATTAAGCAATAAAATCAATTCGTTTATAAGAGCTATCAATCACATTTTACTCATGCATACATAACAATCTGTTGTTCTTCGAATAACTTCAAGTGAACGTGAACGTTTAGCACTTTGCAAACTGATAAAATTGTCATTATGATTGCTACTTGAAGTTTTAAAGTATTGACTGATAGGGTTAATCTAATAAATCAAGTATTCAAGTGTTTTTACTCTGTCATTTCTAGTAATTAAAATTTCGTTATATATTGCTGTGACTAGCAATGAAAAGCTTGAAAACTATTTTTGTCTTGTTTTAAACTAATTAATGAATTATGTATGCATCATAGCAACCAATGACACAAACTCTCCTCCCCCACGTCATTGCATCAGCTATAATTCAAATGCAGTACATGGAAGGTCACGGTATCATGCTTTGAATAGCTGAGTTACGGTAGTTCTGTTAAAAGATATTGATCATATTATTCTTTAATTTTATTAATAGGAAAAACTCAAGAACCAGTGACAGGTAGACAAATTTAACTCGTGTAACTTATTAGGGTGGTATATGAAATTGTACTATTGAATATTGACTGGGTGATAAATGAGTCTCGCTAAAAAGCATAAAATGGGATGAAAACACGTGTAATGAAAAGTGGATTTATGCTACCACTGTCAAGAGATTATAATGATTACTATAAGCAGAAATCTAAGTATTTCCGATAAATGTTTCACTCTTGTTTACTTTAAGATGATGCTACAAGACTAGTCTAAAACAACTAATAACTTCAAGATATTCTTCAAACTACCCAGATTATTTAGTAGTTTCACTTGTTTGAGAAGTTCTACCAACCTTGATAGATCGGTTTGCAATGATACTTCAGCATGAACACTGAAAGCTAATGTATTATTTACAAAAAAACCAGTTGTTGGAGTCTCTTGGTGGAATGGATCAGAGGAATTACCAGTGACATGGATGAATTCATTCTTTATCATCTTGGTATTTAAGATCATGTTTATTCGCTTTTATTCAGATATTCTTTAAATCTAACAACCTTATGATCGCCACTGACAGCTACTAGGATATAGACAAATGGACAGGCTTCTTGGCTTGAAGACAGCATTTAAATCCATTGACTGAAATTCGCTTTGGAAATATCTGACAGTTAAAAGAGTACCGAGAATGTATATCTCACTAATCAAGGTAGGCTACTCAAACTCGTGTAGCCATATAATTTCTTATGGAGTGTTATCCTCATAAGTGATGTCCATCAGTGGTATCCGCCGGGGTGCCCAATGTTCCCATTTTTGTTATATTTCATCAGAGATGACCCTAGCCGATTTAGATTTTGCAGATGACAAAGTCCATCAACGTGAAAACTCTGAGTTTTCTGAATATCCTGGACAGAAATCTTAATATGCTTTACATGCAGTTCGCTCCAGTCACACGTAAGATGAAGGAATGAGCTGAAGAGACTTCCAGTCTAGAAATATTGGATGAACTGTTTGAGCTTGTCGACTAATTCACCTGTTTGAGAAGTTGTATCAGCGTTAATGGACTAATTGCTGATGAAACCTTGGCACAAGACATTTAGCATCCTACGTCTTTGATGCTATTGACGCGACTTTGACTGTCAATCAACAGACATCTGTACTGTGCAGTAGTTCGCCGTCCTTACTAATGATCTGAAAATGGTCATTGAACCTGGAAGATATGGAGAGGCTAGCTGTCTTTAACCACAGATGTTTGTCATATATATCTGGTGTTAAGTGGTACAATAAGGTGAGTAAAATTTTGGTTAGTCATCAAGTTGTAGGGGTGGTGAGGTTGTGAAGCTACATCGATTGAAACGGCTAAGATGCGTGTTGCTCATTCCGAGTCAACGCCTTTTTTGTCTAGCAATATTAGCTGACATAGGATTAGGTCGGAAGAGAGTAAAGGGTAGTTGAATAGAACCACGACGTTATTCCATGAAGTCCTTAAGTGTTAGTTGAACCTTGTTAGTGGTTTTAGACTGCCCTGTTGGGGTCCTGATGACGGTTGGTGACGTGGAGTAAAATGCTTATTCCATCATAGATAAAATTTAATTTGATAACGTCACATATTCTTATACAGTAATATTTAACAGTGACATTTCGAGAACAATTTATTGCTTATAACCATATCAACTTGATATGATGGAATTATATAATGGTATTATACTCTACCACACTGCCCTAATTTTTCCTTATATCGGAATGGTTATGATTAGGTTTATTCTTCATATTATAAACGTACCTCCGTTATACAAACTAAAATGTATATGAGGGTTTATTTTGGAAGTAATTATGGCATTATTCTGATGGTCTGTAGTTTTGTTATTTATGACTACTACAAATACGTATTTCCAGGAAATGGAAAAAACATCATCAAGCTGTTACAATTACGACCGTCTAGTAGCATACGAAATTAAACTTCTCATGTAAGGCCAGCTTGCGTAAACCACTGGCAATTTACGAATATAATTTTTTTTGATTACAGCTTGATTCCACACCGTATTTTTGGTACAAGTATGGAATTTTCAGCATGGATATCGGTAGCCCAAATTTTGCAGGCCGACCATAGATATCAGGTATGCGCCGGCGTGGGCTCGAACCCCGGACCATGTGCATGGTCGGCGAGAGTCCTAACCACTGTGCCACCGACGCACTTAATATAAATCAAACATAGTAGATAAAACTTATCGACTGTTACTCCTAACTGTTATCCATATAGGTCTCTACTGGGATTCACTATCTAATTACAAAACTAGAATGTCTATACACGATGACCATCTCACTGAATTGAAGATTTATATCAAACGTTGTGGATCGGTGTCTGACAAAACATCAGCAAACAACACCAAAAGGTTCAATAGCTTTTACCAATGTGCACTACTTTTCGCACAAACAACATTTCCTACAGCTAAATAAAGGTCAGGGGTACTGTACAAATTTGACATGATTCAACATCGGCCTTTTCGTCGTTTTAACTATAATATCACATGTCTTTATTCACCTTCCCTCGTTTTTATTTCATTCCATGGGATGATTGAATATATTCTTGTCTTCTTTTATTCTGCCTTCTACGTTTATCTGGTAATTGTATTGCCGATAACTTGAATAATTAAGCAATAAAATGATATTTTGTGTTAATGATGCCTAACTTTCTGTCTTTTCTGAATGGCCATTTCGTTTCTAAAGGGATTATGGTGAACAGGATAAACTGTCCGTTTATTTCAGGAAATTTGACTAGTGAACTTCGAGTGCATCTGACATAACCACAATATGCAACTAATTTCACAAATTAGCATATCTCTTCAAATTAAAAATATTCATGAATTTTATGATTCAACAGATGAATGAATTTTTCTTTAACTTGTTACTTTTTGGATTTATTCCATACTGAATTCCATTGTATGCTTAAAATACTTCATCTATTATGTAAAAGAAGTTTCAGATGCAGTCAATGGTTGTAACATTTTAAAGTAATAGACGTGGCTGTAAGCATTCTACAATAAGTGAAATTACCAAGATATATATTACGTATATCAAGTTAAATTATAGTCTGATATATGATGCCTGTAAAATAATCTCAAAACGTATGCATGAACTTAATCAGTTTTGTTTTGTGTTGGACCTCGAGTAGAAACAACTAACAAGGTGAAATTTATATTAACTTCTGAGATATGAATTTGCGTCATTTAATATCAAAGTCATTGATTTTATCATTTGGTTATTCAAGACACAACTAGCTCCTTGTAGGTTCGAATCGCGTATGGAAATCAGTCTTCTGATAATAGCCGAAGCAGACGATTATTGGACTATTATAATTAATATCAAATTATGTTATACCATAATATGGAGTACTGTCGAGTCGTATAGTGAATAAACAAAACACTCGATCAATAAACTTTGTACAACATTTGAGACTTGATAATTCTGCTAGATAGCATAAAACGACTGATTCACAATTTTATTATTCCTATATACCTCAGATGGGGTTGCTAGGCTCACACACGAACGTCTTTTTTAACCGGGTTTACTATCGGGTAAGAGATGTTTTAGAAGTGAGTCGGCTGGGGATCAAACTCCAGACCATGTCGGTAGATGGTGAGTATTCTACCTATAAACTGGCGATGTACAGTCCTTTGATTTCAGTTGTCTTTCAAATTCATATTGGTTAATGATAAAATCTGTAAGTGCGTCAGTGGCACAGAGGTTAGGATGCTCGCCGACCATGCACATGGTCCGGGATTCGATCCCCGGCCACAGACGCACTCTTTTACCTCGCTAAGCCGGAAATAATGCTGGTAAAGAGGAAAGGTTGGGCATGAGGCTAGCACCCCATCCTGTAAAATAAACACTGCTACAGAAACTTCAAGTCACTAGCTTGAGGCTTTATGTTCCACTGGGAACGTGAAGGAAATAAGAAAAATAAAATCTGTAATATAAATAAAACTGTACAGCTCGAAAATGAAGAGTTGTCGAAAAATTATCTTCACTGAACAAATCTGATTTTCCTTATTCATGGAATTAAATTAGTTGAATTCCAAAACCCAACAATGAAAGTGTATTATCATTCAAATATTTTGCTTTCCACTTTTCTTAAATAAGGAGGGAGTATGATGTAACATTATGAGAATATCAAACAAAGAAACTGGTGTGTTTTAACTATCTGGTGGTAAGTTAAATTTATTTCTATTCCTCTTCTACCGTTCAAGTCTTTGTAATTCCCATTGGAATGAATTGACCTTGACTTGATAACAAGTTATGGGCCAATAGGATGTGAAAATAAGTCAAACCATTGATTAGTTGACCAAATTTCACTGCTCCTTCAGTTTTTGTGTGCGAAAAAACGAACAAGCTACTTTATTGTTTTGAGAGGAATAACATAAATGACGAAAAACAAAATGATAACCATCATAACGACAATGTTGACAATAGTCATATATTCTCGAGTAATGAAATTGGATGATTGACAACACAGCCAACAAAGAAGACAGATAATTACTAAGAAAATATCAAACAGAAAGGCTAACCGACTTCTCTATTTCATTCATTTGTATTTTATAAAGCTTTTATTATGTTGATTTTGATTTGAAGTTAGTGAATAATCTTCAAACTACTGAGGTTAGATATTTCATCACCGAAAAGCATCAGTTGAGGAACTATCGAGCACTAATGACAGGACCTACCATTTATTCCACTTTTGCATAACAATCAAATACCACAGTCATAGTTTGGGGGTTCTGAAGCAGTACGAACCCACTGGGTTTCGAACCCAGAACCCTTTAGTCGAAAAAGAAAGCTCGTAGGCCATTCATTCACTGAAACTCGACCCAGTGTCTTATGATTTCCAACGTCTCCTGATTTTTGCTTTTAGTGCGATTACCAGCCAACGTCTTCAACGTGTATTTATCTTCACATACGACCTGGTGGAATCTACTGGTCACAACTTCTCACTGAAACTTCAGGAAAATTTGTTCTGTAGCCAGTATTTAGCCAACATCAGATTGATTTGCGAGAGTTAGTATCAAGGGATCTGATCTGTTCCAAGTTTCTGATCGCCGATTGGTGCCGCTGAAAAGCAGGGAGTACTAGACAGTTGTTTAGTCCTTGTTTAGGATTCAGTACTATTTAAGTAAGTTCTGGAAATATACAATAAAAGGAAAGAAAACACAAGGCGTACTTACTTTCTGAGTTAGTTCTGTTTTGTCTTGTCACTGATTGTGTAGTAGCACGTGATCGATAAACATATTGACCATTGGAACCATTATTATTAGCAACAGCAGATGTTGTGAAGCTATTACTCGGTGGAGTACACTTCCGTGGATGCGATGAATTGGTTATAGGGTCATTATTATTAGTTGTATTATTAGGACTGCCATTATTATTGTGATTGACATGATTAGAAATTTTGCTACTGTATACATGATTTCCACCATTTGGCGTTTTATTATTTTTTTCATTGTTTGACGGTGAAATATACTTACTGATTGATTCATTTAAAGATAATAATCTTGGAATACCTGAAGGAGATTTAAGTGGACCACTTATGGGTAAGCCTTCTGCACTCTGTGGACGATCTTTAGATGATGCTGCAGTCTGTGTACTACTACCATTACTATTAATGTCATTATGGTGATTTTTATTATCATTACTAATAGTATTATTGTTAATAGTAGTCACAGTAGTAGTTGCAGTGTTAGTATTAGTATTGTTATTATGCTGTGTCGAAATTGGTGTACTCACTGTGTTTGGTGGTGTTTGTTGTGTACTGTTGTTACTATTATTACTACTGTTATTATTAGTATTGTTGGTGTTAACACTTTGATTAAATAAATGTTGATACTTCAATGATGATTCTTGTACAGGCGACTGAGCTAACATTTTAGTTACATTTATTTATCAATTGGTTGGAAATACTGATAAATTAACTGGAAGGGAAAAATGAAATTATTACAAATTAGTAAATGTGTGAATAATTTAAGATTAAGTTTGAATATTTAAAATATTTTAGAGAAGAGAGATCATCGATTCACCAATCTCCACGATGTTATCGAAAAGAAAAAAGAGTCATGATGATGACAGAAAACACGACAGGAAACACTAACAGATTAAATTGTGTAAAACCCATTGATCCAGGTTTACCATCAATTTCGAATTTGAAAGCAGTTTAAGTACGCGTCTTGATGTGGTCAATGGAATGACTTTCATGATTTGCATCCTGTAAATTGTTCTAGTCTTCTGAAGGATCTTCATTTTCAGAAACTGATTAAATATAAGTCAATACAAATTCATGAGTCTCCTAAAAATAACTATTAGACTTGATCACTGTTTGTGTACACTGCGACTTATAATACACAAGTGTAGTGGTTTGAATACCAATCTCTTGTCATTGCGATCACCTGAGTACAACACAAATAACATTATAACAGCCCATACTAAAATGTGCCGAAAATCATTTTAATACTAGTTATAGTTACTATAATTGTATGCACAAAAGGTAGTTATTTCTCAAAAGAGTTAGTTTAGACGTAGTATAATTTCAATTTGGATTTCATCTTAAGTTAATATTAATTAAAGAATCGTTAGAAACCATGATCCACTCAAGAGCTGTTTTATCCTAGTTTGGGACACAGCAGAAGTGCATACCAACTGTTCAACCGGAAATCAAACCCAAGACATTCAGGTTACGAGGAGAGCCCTTTGAAATCTAGTAATCCGTGAATTCTTACTATTGTTGATTCAGTTGCTGAGAGTCACTTCTGAATTTTAAAGGTGGAGCAGGACATCTAGTAGTTTTTAATCAATTTTATGGACGGAGCAGTTAGTGACAGAAGTACCCACTGAAACAGATTCGAAATTATCATGTATCTAATCATTTACCTGACATTCAGTAAACCTTATTCACAAACACATCAAGGTAGAACTTTGAAAACACGTACGTCACTTCAAATCGACACATTTCAAAACGGTACAAAAAGGAGATGGTAAAAACACGATGATAATCCAGCACACAAATATGTTCTTTACTGAGAAAAGGAAATGATGTCTAGGAATTTTGAAATAAATTTCTAATAAGTGTTAATGAGTATGAAACCTTATGGAAACTTCATTACGACCGACTTTTATAATCTACTACAGACAAATGATCACGAAAATCGAACTTTTATATCGACTGTGGTTTCAGTTTTCATTTCTAGCTATATTTAAAAGTATACACAGTTATATTTATCAACTAGCCAACAAAACTTAAGTATCTTTGTCATGACTAAATATGAGGGTTAAGTTTTCGTGAATTAAGATTTGTTTTAAAATATTTCATTCTTCTTCACACGGTACAGCTGAAAACGAATACCTTCTTTAGAACTTACGAATTCACAATATCTTCACAGAAATTTACATAATGCTTGGGTATATGTAGAGTTGAAGGTAAACAATGTGATGAAAATACAGAACTTCAGTCATAACTCAATGTAAAGCACTACTGGAACCTGAAGAAACTATCGATCGAAGTGTTGAGATTAACACTATACGTAAGTATGGCAAGTTGATCAGTTGCTGAAATTACGCTGACTTCACTTTAATTCGCATTATCAAATCGATGCATAGGATGAGTACATAAAGTTTGTCAACTGTTTATCTAGGCTGTAAATACGGAGTACAAGATACCTCACTAAAACAAATAAGGTAATTATTATTACCTTATTTGTTTTAGTCAGGTTCAGACTTCAGGTTCCAGAGTTCATTAATTCTGGTAATAACAATGTGTGAAAAACTGAACAATCTTACGTAATCGACAGGGTTAACAACTCATAAGTTAAGTGGTTTATAACCATTTGTAAATAATTGATAGGAAACAAGAGGACATAGGATTTTAATTTTTTATTTGTAATTCTGGTAATATTTTCAAGCATTGGATTTGTAAGGATTTTGTTTGACTGGTTGAAAGATTTCGCTATGGCCTTACATCAGCTAGAGAAACATTGGAGAACCTAAGAATACTGGACAGCTGCTTTGGTCTTAGTTTCGGACTCTTCTTCATCAGTACGCACCCACACTATGAGGTTCAAACCCAGGACCTTCTGGTTACAAGGCTAGCGAGCTTGTAGACCATTAACCCACTGGGACCATATCCGATAGCCAATGAATTCTTACTTCTGCCAATTAATGACATAGCGCAACCACTTCGTAATATCCAAGGTCCAGAAGGTCATGGGTTCAAACCCCGTTGGGTGTATATTTCTGAGGATTTCAACGACGACGAAACAGCTGTCCAGTACTCCTAGGTTTTCCACTGGTTCTCTAACTCATGTCAGCTCACGATAAAATCCTCCAACCAATTCTAATATTAGTTAAGAACTGATCTCAATGAAGAAACCGCATACACATTATTTATTTTTGAATTTCTCTTCGCTCAATTGTGCAAAGCATAATCAACGAGATGAAGTCAAATTAGTGGTATATTACGTCACAATTTCTAAATTAGAACATATTTTACAGCGATACTATTTACAGCTAAATCTTTCTCATGCTTCATCATGAAATGCGTAGCCTTACGTGAAATATACAACAGTTATGGTGACTTGGAAGTGGAGCAGTTATAAGAAGGTGAGTTGCGCAAATAATAAGAGTCACAACAACAATAATGATAGTATTTGTAGAATCTGAAGCATTATTATAAACCAACTGACAATGCAAGATACTCCTCTATATGCATATAAATATATATCTCTTTTGAGATCTTTATTCAATTGTAGCAATATCGTCTACTCATTATAAATTGTTTAAATTAATCCCAGCGCGTTAAGAAAATCAAACAAGATTTTTCTGAACGTTTCGCCGTGTAAGCCACAGCTTCTTCAGCAGATTCTTTATTGGGATTATAATTAATCATGATTAATTATATTTATTTATAATGAATCAATCTGACTCGGCGCTCAAATTATTCCAGGAAGTTCGTAACACCTACGGTCTGGAAACCTATAATATCGTCTACTGTTGTATTCTAAAGCACTCGAAAACTGGATATATTTCACTCAGTATGCTTGCCCATACAACTCATTGATCCGTCACGATTCAAATGAAAGTAAATAATCAAAACTAGTAATCTCTTGACAGCTGCTCAACCATATTTCAGACTTGTCAGTTATTACAGACGGACAGTACACAGTATTACGCCGTCTAAACATATTTTGGCAAGAAGATTATTCAGTTCAGTTCAAACAATCGCGAATTCTAGTATAATTCAGCATTGCATCTAATCATATCAATTTCCGCTGGAGTGTTTATTCATATCCTCTAGCTTTTAGCAAGTTCAGTTATTGTCGCAAGAACAACAAAAGCACTAGGAAGCCTTCCAAGTTAAACTGATCAAAATGCTCACCACCAGATTGTCTTTGAAGTTATCTCCATACTGGAAATATAGGTTCAGTTGTCTAGTCAGCCACAGAAGTACGGAACAATTTTGCAGCTGATGCATTATTTGCGCAGTTCGGTTTCAGTGAAACCATGCGAATTAATTTTAAAAATCAGATTGATAATCTGGATTCCAATAATGTATTGAATTCTAGTGAAGACACAATTTGTAAAAAACCAAAAAATAAGACCAGTTCAAGTGTGGGGGTTTTCAATCAGATTCCTCCCACCGTGGGAGAAAGGAGAGAATTATCTATACAAGTGCCATCATTTTATTTAACAAGAAAAGTTTATTACAGTTATTTTGCTTCATCAGTAACAGCTGAAAAAACGCATGAAATCTAGTTTGGACGCAAGACCAGAATTTGTCATATAACAGCTTCACCAGAAGAAAGTGAAGTACTGAATGAAGATAGTTGAAATCGCAGCTGTAGCTAACGCCCTACTCAATAAAGAACCATCTATGGAGAATATAAAAATGAGTTTGAGGAATTATTATTGCGATGCGTGTATTATTCTGCAGTTATCAGGCAATAATTATCTCAGACTATTTCGTGGGGAAGTTATTATAGACGGACAGTGCACAGTATCATTTCGTCATAGCGTCAATAATATAAATTTTCAACCTTTCATAAGTGTCCGCGAAATTGAAAGTTCTGGTAATGAAGACGTTACCAATTCACCAACAACTATGATATCCTTCGACATAGTTAAGAATGCTTAATTCAACTCTCACGTTAATTTCTTAGAATAAATATTGCATATCTAAGAAAAACTTGAAAATCTACCAAAGTGTACACATACATACACACACAAATATCAGTTGATATAGATAAAAGAAAAGTTGAAAGGAAGACATTTTTCTTTTACTGTTTAACCTCGACTACACTGTCCACTTGATTTGCATAAAAAAAGTCAATTGAAATTCAAAAATACTTTGTTATTGTTTTGTGTAAATGACCCTAATTCTTAATTTTAATAAAATAAAATACATTTCAATAAAATACCTAGAATGTGATAAATGCACTTAAGACATTGACGAAGACGAAGAAGTAGGATAAAGAAAGGAGCAACAACAGGTTGTACACAAATTGTGATAATTATTTTATCTGTGTACAACACCTGTAAATTAAAGTCATCTGTTTTAATAGACGATAACATGAAATAATTTTCATCCACAAAAAATGGACGAGTTAATGTGTTCTCTTTTTTTCTACAATTGTTATTTTTATACCCTAATTTATTTATATTAAATTAATCAATATTAAACATGAGTGTCTAGTCCAGGTTGATAGTATGGAGAGAAAGAGAGAGACATAGACAGAAGTAATAGAAACCAAGTCTTGTAAACATTTATACAGTGTAAATCATGATTTATTTCAGGGTGTACTACTGTCTGTATGGTAATGATAAATATTTATTTACCACACCTAGGATGAATGAGTCAACTTGTTTACAAGAAGTGAACA